TATTACCCTTAAGGCCTAAGCTAAGCTTTTTAAGCTTACTTTTTCCTCTTTTATTAATTCTTTAATTAATTACCTATTTATAATTAGTCCTTTTTTTTTTTTTTTTTTTTTTACTAATACCTTTTTTAAAACCTAAATATTACCCTTAGTATGGCTAATATACCGTATAACCTAAGTAATCTACTATATTTTATATATTTCCTTTTTTTCTTTTTTTCCCTTTTTATTTTATTTATTTATCTTTCTTTTATTTATAATAAGATTTTTTTTAATAATTTTTAGGGGCATTTTAAAGTTAAAGGGTGTGAAAATATATTATATAATCCTTATAACCTTTTATTTTAACTAAATAACCTTATAAGTATTCCTTATTTTATTTTTAACTTTTTTCTTTATTAATATATATTTAGCTTCTTTCTTTAATTAACCTTATTTTTAAAGGTGGTAAAAATACTTTTATATTTTTAGATATTAATATAAGATTTATTAAAAAATTTTAATAAAATATATACTAATATTTCTTAGCTTTTTAACTTACTCCCTCTTTTTCCTTTTCCCCCTTTCTTAAGCCTTAAGCTTTTAAGCCTTGCATATAACTCTAAGCATTTATATTTTTAGGTAAGCTATATATTATTTAAAAGCCCTTTTTTTACTTTATTTATTAATATTTTTTTTAAAGACTTATAATATTCTTCTTAATTTTAATGAAATCTTAAACCTTAAGCCCTTTGCTTTTTAAGGCCTAGCTTTCCTAAGGTTTAACTTTATAAATATTAATCCTATCCTTAAAGTAAGTATACCTTTAAAATACGCTTTTTTTAATATATATTTTTATATTAAATTTATTAAAATAGGACTTAATTAGTAATCTTAAGAAATAATTATATTAAATATATTTTAATAAACTTACCCCTATTTAATAAGAGAAAGTAATTAATACCCTAACCTTATAAAAATATATTTAAATATTAATAATATTTTAAATTGCTGCTTAATTTTAAGAAAACTAGGAGAAAGAAATTTAAAAGGAAATTCCTTTTAACTTAGCTTAAAGATAGTTTCTTTTAAATTACCCTTATTAAAAATTTATTAATTTAATAAATTATATTTATAGTTATATTATTTAGTATAATATAAGTTTTTTCCCTTAACCTTAAATATTTATATATTAATATAATTAATTTATTTAATAGTATTTTGGTAATTTTAAGGGATTTTCAACTCGTTTTTTATGCCTAGATTATAAGAAGGTTTATATTTCTTAGCGGCAAATTTATATGCATTAGCAGCACGTTAATAAGAGTCGCTATAGCAACTATAGCTCTCCTTGTATTTAGTTATTTAGTTATTTAATTATTTAATTATTTAATTATTTAATTATTAATTATTTAATTATTTAATTATTTAATTATTTAATTATTTAATTATTTAATTATTTAATTATTTAATTAATTATTTTTTATATCTTTTTAATTTTTTAAATTTCTTTTATCTTTTTAATTATATAATATAAATATAAATATAAATATAAATATAAATATAAATAAATATAAATATAAATATAAATATAAATATAAATATAAATATAAATATAAATATAAATATAAATATAATATAAATATAAATATAAATATAGATATAAATATAAATATAAATATAAATATAAATATAAATATAAATACAATATTTTATATTTATATCTATATTTATATTTATATCTGTATTTATATTTATATCTATATTTGTATTTATATTTTGTATTTATATTTGTATTTGTATTTTGTATTTCTTTTGTATTTGTATCTGTATTTATATCTATATCTTGTATCTAGTTTGTATTTCACAACTCTGATTATGCTGCAGCTTAAAAAAATGGATCTTTAAGCTTTTAATATAAGCATATAAATTTAATTATCTTTGCTATTTAATCTTTATTAAGCAGGGCCTTTAAGAATTTATATAAGTACTTATTTCTTTATTTTTATTAATTTATAATTACGCTAAATAATTATTAATTAATATTAAATAGCTTTTGCTATATAACTATATTTATATATATATATATAATATTTATTTAATTAAGTTTTATCTTTATTATTTTATTTAAGTTATAAAATAAGAAAATAAATAAATACTATATAGGAAAGTATTACATAATATTTTAAGGTAAGATTAATCATCCTAACCCGCTAGCATATTTCCATGTAGTTAGCTTTAATGTTATTTTAATAAAAGCAATTATTTCTTTATTATTATTAAAAGGCAAGATTTAAGGCATTAAAAGAAAAGCATATATTATTTAAATAATAAGGAATTAATTTATAGCTAATTAATATAGCTAAACTATTAATAAGTATTCTTATGCTTAAAAACTTTAATAAAGCAATATTTATACCTATTTTTAATAACTTTATAAAAATTAAAAAAATTAAATTAATTACTTTAATACTTATTAAGCTATAAAATAAGTTTTTTTTAACTTTTAAAATATTAAGAAAAATATAAATTACTTTTACTAATTATAATTTATAAAAATACTTAATTATAACTTAATAATTACTTTTTAAAAAAATATAAAAAGAATATAATAAGAAAAACTAGGAATTAATAATGCTTTTATAAGAAAATTAAATCCTTAAAGATAAATTAATAGCCATAATACCTTAAAAGAAAAGGAAAGTTAAAATAAGCCTTAACTCTATATTTATTAAAATTAAGCATATATATAAGGCGTAAATTAATGCTAATATAATTAAAAATAACTTAGCAAAGATAAACGCTTTTTAAGATACCATAGATATAGAAGAATGTATTATTATAAATGGTGATGATGATTTAAAGTAACTTTAATTAAAGGGGTGGTGTGGTGAGAAGGACCGATTAGGTGGGCCGAATCCCCGGGCGGGCTGAATGTGGGCCACTTGACTTAATTTTATGCAGATGTTCAGTTGAAGCCTCCAGAATTGTATTCCCGTGCTGTCCACATTAAGATATCTATTGCCATCTTCTGTTAGAATGTACATTTTCTTCCTTTGAAGTCGTTCACATGGCAGTCATGCTCCAGCTGAGAATAGCCATCTCGGCTTGTGATTCACTTGCTCTGTGGCATCATTTGTTCAAGTGCAAGCTGCCAAAGGCATCAAGGCTGGGTGGAACGTAGGCTCAGATATTGTGCAGAGATCTATGCCCATCTTGACAATATGTACGTTCCTCTACATCTGAGATCGGTACTTGTAATAAGGACGGGAAATATTGTTTCACTGATCCCCAGGCCACGGTTGGAAATTTCCCGAGTTCCAGCCGGGCACACCCGCATCACCACGTGGATCATGATGGAATGCCGCCATCGGCTGTTTTTGGTTGCATCCCTGTCCGACCGGTCTAGCTGGGCTAAGCGAGAGGGACACCCCTGATTGCCAACGGAACGCGGCGAGTACAGGACAGGGATTCATCCGGAGGCCGGAGGAAATGAAATTGGCTGACCTTCACGTGCGCATCACGATGCTTGCGAACTGCTGATTTATCCTGCAAGACCGACCAGTCCTGCGAGAAAACCACCCTGTAATCGGCTGGTGACCTGCTGCTTCGCATTCAGGTGGTGTGGTCGACAGAGGTAGTTCCTCCAATCCGCGAGCTTGCAAGCGTTGATCTCTGCGCCGGTACTTATGCGAATCAAGCTCACCAAGACTGCTTGGTACTTAGCTTGGCTCGACATGGATTAGTTTACTTTCAAAGACCTTCGGATATTGTGACATGGGTTCAGCAAACACAAGCACACGTGTAGGAGATGGTGAGGACATCAGGATGACGGGATGGAGTGCTCTCCGACGAGGCGTGCCGCAAAGGACGCCCCGGAGCCCCGCTTCAAATCTCGGGGAGGAGGGACAATGGCTACCGCGACTTTACGATTACCGAGGCACGGTCGTGAGGATGGATCAGATGGGTCCTCAAAGCTGACTATTTTGCTTCTTTTCCCGTTGAGCCATGTTCTAGATCTCTTATGGAAGGGCGCCCCTGGCCACACTTTGCAGCCCGCCCACGAGCCACATCCCGGGATCCGTTTCAGATAAAAACGTGGTTGAGCAATGGGGTGAGGTCTCGCTCGAGTGGACTCGCCCTGTCTGCCCGTCAGGCCTGTCATCCCGGACTCCCAGTGAGAAGCTGCCGACCGATCCCTCGTGACTTCGCAGCGTCGCAACAGTCAGTGCGAGATCGTGAATAGCAGGAGGCTATGGATGGGTCGCAGAAAACGACAGCCTGGGATCCCATGCCAAGAGACCACGTGTGACCCGGCTTGAAGGTTCGGCGCTGGCTGTGATTGATTTGGACATAGACTACGTACACTGCAGGCCGCTGTCGGATCTGATCCTCGCGTCGATCTGGAAAAAAAGGATTATCGCGACGCAGCTTTTTAGGTGGGCAAGTGAGTGGAGAGCAGCACCCCCTCCCACCTCGATGATGAAGCTGTCACACACCTGCAGCCTGCTATCACAATTGCCAGGTATTGTACGTGCCGCCAATGGTGGATTTACCAACGGTGGATTGATCCGATGCAATTCAAAGAGGCAAAGTCAGCGGACCGAAGGTAGGATTGATGCACAGGCCAGGAGAGTGCGCTGCGCCAACGGCGAAGCATTCCTTTTCCAGCCCTTGTGCGGCGCGAAAGTTAACGGAGTCATATTCCCAGCGCAGGCCCTCAAAGGTCCGCGTGCGCAATCAATCTGCAAGTAGGCGACGTGGGTCACCGCAGGGGCCCAGCCCTGTAGGCCACCTAATTTCAAGTGATGCTTCTTCAGGCTTGTCCCCTTCCGGAACGAAAGCTTCTCTTGACTTTTCATCTATACGGCATTCCTTTCTCTTGGCTCCTTCCTTCTTACTTTCGATTCTCGCGGTGCTGGTACCAGCGGACAAGTATGGTCGATTCGAATGGACTGCTTGTAGCCCACCACGACTGAACCCACACGCCACGACGTGACATGGCGCCGCTTCGTGATTCGATCATGGTCCCCGATCTCCTGGCCTTGTCTCCTCGGAAAGAACACCACTACTACGACCCCTCAACGGAGCTATACGCTGGACTATGGTGTCTCTTTACTGCTGCGACCGCATTCCTGGCGCTGAGGGTCTGGGTCAAGGTCAGCAGGCGCCACGGATTGTGGTACGATGATTACCTGCTCATCTTATCATGGGTGAGTACTGCATTTGGGATGTATCAATGGCCTGGAACCACTTGTGGCTTACGCGTTGCTTGTCATTCCAGATCATCCTCTTGGGCACGGATATACTTATAACAGTCGAGTACGCTACGGGATATGCGAGGGGGAGCTGGGACGACAGGATGCATAGTAAGTAGCTTCTGGATACAATCCCAGCTTCAGACAGGCTATGGGCAAATGATAGTCCTGATTTGCTACTCGCATTTCATGTGCACGTCCCTGGTGCTTTCAGCAACTAACCTTTCTTAGTTTTGATCAACATATCTTCGGACGGCACAGTCATTGGACAGGCTCTCACCAAAACAGCATTTGCCGTCACACTCCTCCGCATGTGCCATGCTTCGACACGGTCGCGTTGGCCCTGGCAGCAGGCCCTGCTATGGTTCTGCATCATCACAATGGACGGCATCGCCTTGACAAAATGTGTCTTCCAATGGGCCAAGATGTGTGAGAGGCACGACTACCAGCAGTGGTATCGTATCCAGGGATGGTGTCTAAATTGGACCTTTTCTCAGGACTTTAAGGAGGTTGGGAACAGTGAGTCGGCACCACGACAACTTGCAGTCTATTAGGCTGACGCTGACCAATTTCTAGTCTACAACATTATCATGGACTTTATGTTTGCCATTTTCCCCTGGTTCATAACATGGCCGTTGAATCTCAAACGGGGTGAGAAGATCGGACTATGCATCACCTTGAGCCTTGGTATGATGTGAGTGCAGGAGTTGATATTACAATGCCCCTTGACATCAAACATCAACGCACCATCGGCTAATGGTAAAACAACAGGATTGCTATCGTCACAGCAATTCGAACTTGGTGGAAAGACACGCCGCTCATGCACGTGCACGACAACTGGTGTAAGTGCTTGTCGCCTTTTCCGCTGATGTTGTTATCAGGTGCATGAGATAGATGAGGGGTACTGACAGGGCATTGCATAGATATGTTGCGTGACGCGATATCACAGATCTGGTACTCGGCTGAGGTTGCTGGAACAATCATAGTTCAGTGTGTCCCAGTGCTCAGGCCGTTCCTCAAGGATCTGCATACCTCGTTCACATCGAAACGGCTTGACGCAACTGAGCCATCACAAGCGAAATCGACATGGCGTGGTTCGACGCTGGTCGACCATAAATCAAAGTCAATCCCCTCGCGAACGGCTTCGATACTATCCAAGAACGAGGAGAAGAAGTCGCCTGGACTGTTCGAACTGACGGAAATACCTGAGGAGCCAGGTGCACTAGACCAGACACGCAAGGGCTTTGGGTACCACGCGGATGCGTACTATGAACCTAGTTCCGATACAAGTGTCGACCTACCCGTTCAGGGCATAACCACCACCACGACAACGACCCAACGGCTGAACGGGCCATTGGACTCATGGCCGATCCCAGCAAGGGGCAACTACTAGCTAGAATCAATATCTCTTCCTCCGTGAACATTGTCCACTTGTACAGGGCCATGCAGTGTGTGGCTAGGGCGGGATCCTTGACGTTTTGCCTATTACTTCCGGCCTTTCTCCTCTCGGTATATATCGTGGAACCAGCAAAGTTTAATTTCTTAATGCCAAGTCCAAGTAGCTGCGAGTTCAGGAATTGCGCGAACATGTAGCACCCACATGACCAGCACCCACACAACCAGCACCTACACACCCAACACTTATATACCTGATTCAAATATCTAATTTAGGTATATGGGTATTAGGCATATAATTAAGTGTGTAAATCAGGTATGTGAATTAGGTGTGGCCGTTGGTTGTGGGTGTTGGGCATATGAATTCTGATGTGGCTCAGCACTGGCGATGTACTGGGTGTACCCTCCAATGTTGCAGGTGCAAATCTCCGTATCCTTTGTCCATAGCCAGGAAAGCAAGCCGACAGGGCGGGCAGTTTTAAAGTTATGTCGAAGCGCAGACACGGCATAAATTACGTGTGATTTCTGGTGAACCACGGCGCCTCGGGCCGAGCCCGGTGAGCCGTTGGGCAACGTCATGTCCAGTCATGTTCCCTACTAGTATGACGTGGTTGTGATACCACCTCGGCTCTCGTTTGCACGAAACTTTCTCTCATCGGGGCAAGGCGCGCTTCAAAGTTACGTTCATCTGTCGAGCTCGGTATCCACCCATCTGTCTCCTTGAGGCCAGCCATAAGACCACAGCTTCGACTCAATTGCGTTCTCCCTGCTCAACGGCACGCGATCTCGACACAGCAGAATCCGCTCAAATGTCATCCACGACCACGTCGGGCCAGTGTCTCTGTGGCAAGGTCCAGGCGAGTAGCCCTACGCTCTTGGATGGCATGCATTGATCTTCTGGCACCCGTTCTAACTAGGCTTGAATCCCATCTGCAGGTGACCGTCACCGGCAAGCCCCTCGCATCGTTCCCGACCCTTACCTGCCACTGCGTCTCGCGCAAACGGCGCAGCGGTGGCGTTGCATCATACGCCTTTGTCGTGCCCAAGCAGAATGTCCGGTTCCAACCAGAGCCCAACCCCCCAAATCCAATCGGCCCCGCGGGCGGACCTCACAGGATCTTTGTGGACAACGATACTGGCTCTGGCCACCCCATGCAGAGGACGATGTGCGCCGAATGCGGCAGTCCTGTCTGCATAATTGAGTCGGCTGACCCCGATGCGAGGTGTCTACAATTCGGGCTATTTGCAGACTCTCAGGGCGTGGATCTGAGTGAGTGTAAGCCGGCCTTGGAGATGTTTGCCTGCAGGCGAGTAAAGTGGATTCCGGAGCTGGGTGACGACGTACGAGAGAAGTCTTGAATTGAAGCAGGCGGTGACCACACTGCGCCCCGCACACATCAATCCAAGAAACTGCGGGCCATCACTTGGTCTCAATCTCAACTAGGAGACAGTATGAGAAGCCGAAGAATACCATAACGATGCAATCCCACTTGAGGTACTTTTACAGCCTTCCCCACTATGAGCGTAAGAGCGCAGATCCCAGATCGGTCTTGGCTCACGAGTCGATGGATGCAAAACTTCAAGATTGGTTCCGCTCCAAAGCAGGCAGCTAGAGACCACCTGCGACCTTGATACTACTAGTCGACAATGAATGGCATATTTCAAGTCACGGAAATCCCCGCGGTGTGTCCTCTGGCAAGCCACAAATTCCAGCTCGGCCCCTATGTTTTCCTCGGTCTTAGATCTCCGCACCACCGAGCCATCGCCGCTTTGCAATCCACGGCGCGTTCCGCGATCTTCAAATATTGCATGGTCTTCATCGGCTTTTATGTACCAAATGTCGCCGGCGCAAATATCCTCCCAGTTTATAAGCTAGGCAAACGCCATTTGTCTCGAGTCGAGGCAGTCGTCTCGGAATTCGGGCTAGCAAGCAAAGCGCGCGACTGGATCACAAGACCTTCTGAAAATTCATCACTCTGGCAGAAGTAAAGCTGCGAGACTTGGGATTCACGGGGCGTATTGTAGATAGTACGTCTCAGGACTTGCAAGGCTTGCTACGTCGTTTCTCGGCCGGGGCAGAGCGGAGGGCGAGATACGTCGTCTTGCCGAGCTCGGCACGAGATGTCTCCTTGGCCATCAAATTTGCGACTCGGTTTGTACATGTGGCACTTGATATCATTAGTGCGAGCTTCTAACACCTGCGTAGAGAGGATCTGAGTATAGCTGTGAGAGGCGGCGGTAACCACGCTACTACTGGCGCCAGCAGTGCTGAGGATGGCCTCGTCATTGACGTCAGCAACCTCAACAGAATTTCGGTTGACACAAACAAAGGCCAAGTCACTGTTGGAGGAGGATGCCGCTGGGGAGATGTATACTCGACACTACACAAGCAAGGGCTGATTTGCGTCGGCGGCGGCGTGCACATCGTTGGAGTCGGTGGCCATTTGACTGGAGGTAGTAATACGCCCTCCCCGTTCCTATCCCCCGCTCTAATTATGTCGACTGGTGGCTGGGGTACGTTGAAGGGCAAGTATGGAATGGGTTGCGACAATGTACTGTCCTCAACGGTGGTGCTTGCGGATGGGCGAATTGTCACTGCGAGCGAGACCGAGAATCCAGACCAGTCGTGGGCAATTAAGGGTGCGTGCCCCCTGCCACAATGAGGCGCTATGTGGTCGCTAATTCTCACCATCAAAGGAGGGTCATCTCAATTCGGCGTTGTGACAGACTTTGTTCTTCGATCATTTACTGAACCGGTAAGGAAACCAAGAACTATTTATCGAGCGACCTATTGGCTGAGATGATGCATTAGAGGCAATTCTTCTAACGAAATATGGCTTTCCAGAGCGAAAGCCTCCCCGCTATTCTTGAAAGGTTCCGCGTGAGATACCAATACTACATTCAGCCTCCACAGTGATGCATGGCACCAACGACTGACGTGCTTTGATGTAGACTTTTCTTGCTCGGAGATATGAGGGAGACGAGTGGTTAATCGGGTTCATTTTCTTTATGAGATCCCAAGATCAACATCACACAGTTGGTTTCCACTTTTACCGCACTCTAACACGATTCTGACGAAGTTGCAGCCAATTGTAATGCTCAACCTCACTGGTGTCAGAGACCCAGACCGCTACAACGATGTGTGGACTTCATTCCGAGAAGCAGCCAAACCTTCCATGGAGCAGACGGTTGGGAACCTCTCCATATCGAACCTCTCACATTCTTTCGACGATGCTCTGCTAAAAGGACCACCGCGTGTGATGAACGCTGGCTGTGTTGTTACGGAACTTTGGCCAGGAATGGCCGAAGAGCTGTGGGAATACTTCATTACTTACTCGGCATCTAGCGCCGATGTCGTTGGCTCGATGGTCGCCCTCGAGTTTCACGCCACTCGGCGAAAACATCCGGTACTCATGGGTGACCAGCCCCTACCCCTTCCCTCGGCCCCTCTCTCCCTCTTGTCCAACCGAGTACGGGATGAGCTATCTCTAACAAGTCACAGGAACTTGGTTGCTTCCCCATCGACGAGCCTGTACATCATGCTGTTGTCATTCACGGCCAGTGAGTTTCTCCGTCGTGACCTAACTGAACGTTTCAGGTCTGACCGCGAGCAACGCAAGACACCACACTTCTGCGAGTGACCCAGGAGCTGCGGCCTGGCTCAATAGCAGCACATCAATCATTCGACGCTACCAGACTCAGAACACAGGCAAAGACTTGGGCCTAGCAGCGAATGCGACGAGCATCCCAGCCAATCCCCAGGACGCATGGGGGGAAAGCTACGAAAAATTACAATGTTATATTGTTTTTTAACGTGGGGTGTTTAAGCGTTTATCACTATATAAAGGGACTGGATGCATATTGATTAAGAAGCATATGTGTACAGATAAAAAACGAGACCACTTATTCAGTACAGGTACTGCCTTTACGGCAAGCAATTCGGGTACGGTCAGAGCCCCTGCCCCTGGTTGTGTTGTACGCCACAAGGCCTGCCAGACTGGTTTTAGACACAGCTCCATCTTTTCCAATGTTCCCCAGGCGTGTGCCTTACGTTCATTGTACGTGTGGAGGGTTCCGCGGAATGAGGGCACGAATCGGAATGTGACAGCTTGTATGAAGGATGCAGGCAGGAAAGGAAGGCTCGAGTCGAATATGAATATGGACGACATCCCTTGAATTGCAATTCTGGCAAATTAAAGTGATGCCGCAACCCTCGTTCCTCAACTATCAAACGGACAGCTGAAACAGTCAATACCAACCATGGTCCCTCACAAAGACGATGATACAAAAGAGCGGACGGCTTTTGGAGAGTTCGACACGGTAGAGGATATCGGAAGAGTTTCCACGATTGAGGTTAACAAGTTTTATGGGCTGACATTGTCTGTCGTCCTCATTTACCTGGTGGGGCGCTGTTCAAGACCAAAGATGAATACTCATGCTGATGCGCACAACCTTCGTGTAGGCCCTCGTCCTCGTTAATTTCGCAGGCATGATAACAGTCGTGTCTTCGGGATTGGTAGGTCCCGCCTCCTTCCATCTGCGCGTTGGTGCTGGCTGCTAAGGCTACATACACAGGTCGGAACGTATATGGCTGAAGACATTGGGGACCCGGCAAAAGCGCAATGGCTAATACCTCAGACCAATACAATTATAACCTTGGCTTTCGTCAAGCCCATTTCTCAGATCGCAGACTACTGGGGCCGCAAAGGACCATTGGTCATCGCCTCTGTTGTTACCTGCGTCGGGAGTATCATAGTCTCCCGGGCGACCAACATGAGCATGGCCATCGCGGGAAATGTGTTCGCCAGCACCGCCAACGCGGTCTCGCCGTTGGTATTTGCCGTCGCCGCCGAAATCGTGCCCAGACGCTACCGCTCGCTTGCACAAGGCGGCATGACCGGGATGCAATCTTCGGCGGGTCTTGTGGCCTTGCTCGGCGGCACGAGCCTGTGCAAGAACTACGTCGAGGGCTGGCGCATCCTGTGGTACTTCATCGCCGGCGTGGGCGCGCCCACGGCTGTCATCGCGTTCCTCTGCTACAACCCTCCCCCGAGGCAGCTGCAGACCGCCCTTAGTCTGAACGAAAAGCTCCGTTGCTTGGACTGGTTAGGCATCTGCGCTGTGCCGATCGGTCTCACGCTCGTCGTCGTCGGGTTGACATGGTCTCAAAACCCGTATGGTTGGAATGATGCACACATCCTGGCCCCCTTCATCCTTGGTATGGCGATCCTGGTGTTTATCATTTTCTACGATGTCAAGATCAAGAAGCACGGCTTGTTCCATCACGAGCTCTTTAGGAAGAGTCGAAACTTCCCGCTGGCTTTGGTCCACATCTTCGTCGAGGGTTCTGTTTTCTTCACGGCCAACACCTTCTTCACGACCGAAATCGCGATTCTCTTCACAACAGATCCGCTGCAGACCGGCCTGCGCTTCTCGATGACCTTCTTCGCCGCTTTTGTAGCAAGTTTCGTCGCGGGATGGTACATCTCCTGGCAAAAGGCGCTGCGAGGCGCTATGCTTCTGGGCTTCATGTGCTTCACAGCCTTTTATGGTATGTACGACCGGCTCTGTAACCTTCGTGGTGATACAAGCGATGACCGCCGCGGGCTAACTCGTTCTCAGGTGCGATGATAGGGGTCGACGAGGGAAGTTCGAAAGAGATGTGGGGCCTGGCCGTCATCCTTGGATGGGGCCTCGGTACTGTGCTGACGTCCCTGGTCACTGCTGCGCAGTTCGGCACGCCTCCTGAGCTGATTTCACTCAGTGTGAGTGCGTTGCTCTGTGTGCGGACCTTCGGTGCATCGATCTCGCTCCCCATCAACAACGCCATCTTCAACTCACAGATCCAGAAACACCTCGGCCCTGGCATCCCCGCTGCCGTGTTGCCCCTGGGCCTCTCCCCGGATGTCCTAGGCCGATTCATCGAAGCACTGAGTGCGAACAAACAGGCTGCTCTTGCCGGAATACCCGGCGTGACACCAGAAATCATTCAAGCTGGCGTTCACGCACTTCAAGCAGCCTACGTCTCGTCTTTTCGCATCATGTGGATCATGCCCCTGGTGCTGTCCGTCTTGGCTCTTTCATGTAAGTCACCGATATTTCCTAGTACCACCTGTAACGTCCAATCTCTTCTTTCCTAGCTTGCGCACACTAACTTTGTGCACTTGGCCTGTTTGTTCCTGGCCAACCCACGGGAGGAATTCACCATGCACGTCGACGCGCCGATAGAGTCTGAGTCTTCGGGTGAGAATGATCCAAAGACTGCAGAGTAAACAGCCAGTCAGGCAAGCTCACCCGGGGATTGTCCGTTTGCTGCTCCTGATTACCATCGTCTCATTCTCTAATGACTTCATTGCAAGCACTGTAACAATACTAAGGCAGCTTCGTCTGTGTCTCATGAGCCGAGGAATCTGTTATGACTCCTGGTGGCCGCCTATGATTCACTTCAACTGCCCTTAATTCGCTGTTAATGCATTTTGCCGCAATTTGACCAACCATGGGGACCAATCTGAGCTCAGTGTGACCTTCAAATAGGGGACTTGGTGCTTGGAGAGGCTTGTCACCAGCGATTATTGTCCCCTCCAGCCCTCCCGTACAAATTCCCGCTTCGGGCACCCATAGTAGTTAGTAAAGAGAATACCATGATTCTAGACATGGCACAGGCAAATAGCATCATTACAGGTTGCTGGGAAATGATCGAGCTGAGATCAAATGTACTACGACTACACGTTTGTCGACGAGCACGCGTTGCACCCTCACTTCGTGCTATCTTACAAGTTTCTAGCCCGTTTTCCCTACACTTGTGGCCAGCGGTATGCACTTGTAGGCAACGACACAACCTTAGAGCATCCAACACCGAGCTTCCTATAGTGCAAAGGCGACGAAGTAATTGTTCAAAGTATCTCACGTAAGACTTTAGTAGGGTATACCAGCCACTTCTCTGTATACAGATCTACATTATGACACAAACACAGATGTAGGTGTTCCGGCCGCTGAAGCGGCCAGAAGGCCAGCACTGATAATCGCCTTGCGCTGGACTTTGTCTTCCTCGCCCCAAGTCCTCACCCCATTCTCGCCTGGTACCATTGTCGAGTCTGCGTACAGTAATGGCACCAACGACGACTTCCACGCGCGCTGGTGTGCTGCGCAGGTCTTCCAGATGGTGATACACAGAAGTGCCATCGAGCCAGTAACCGTAATAACAGATAGCGAAAGCCATCCCCAACGCACTCTTACGAACGTTTGGGTCTCAAGCAGCGACCCACGGGCCAGCGTTGCGCTTGGTCCGCTCATCATGTTGTACGTTATTCCCGTAGCCATGTTTTGGAGAGTCTGGGAAATATTTGGGCCAGCCAAGTATGCGCTGTTCCAGAAGTACGGGATTCCGTTGGAGGCTTCTCCTGTGTACCAAATCGTGGAGAGGGTAAGCTCCATGGCCTGCTGGTCCAACGGGTTGATCTCGAATGTACCGTTTCCGTGGAAATCGGGATCTGTGGCCGTGTAGACACGAGAAGTCTTCGCGCCTTGGGCGTCAAAGTCATCAGATGTGAGCACTCTTCCATCACTGACGACGGGAGATTGCGCTGTGGTGCCGTTGACGAGGATCCCGTTGGTCATGCCCCAATCTTCAAAGGACCATGCGCACAGTTCGAATTTGCATTCGTAAGCAGTCATCGTCTCCGCCCATTTTGTCGGCCTGTCCGGGTCCTCCGAGTCGGTGTTTTCATCGTCATTATCGAACCGGACAATGCTGATAGAACTGATCCCGGGCGTTCCGTCTAGCCCGGCATTGCCCCCACTGGTTGTACTGCCCAGGCTGATATTGAGATCGGGAGTGGTCACGCCGTACACCGAAGTATAGTACGCGTATGCCCAGATGTCGGCTCCGCCGGGAAGAGTGTAGTTACAAGAACTGTAGGGGCCGTTTTGCGACTCGGCTGTCAAGACAGTGTCGTTGCAGGTGACCTGTGTCTGCGCTGTGACGTTTTCGCAGGAGCTGCAGACGCCGAGGGATGTCACCAGCGGGAACGTACAATTGGACCCTGGACAAGAGAACGGCGGATCAGGCAGGGTACCGTAAACACTTGACATAACGCCAGCCATTACGGCGTCATCATTACGGCGACCTTTTATAAAATTCCGTAAGCGGGTCGCCTGGTTATGATAGGAGTCCACATGATAGTTAATAGACTTACTTAAGACGTTTGTCTTGTTCATTGGGCCTCTGTCATATAATAGTGAATGTTGCACTTCCGAGTACATATTGGGTACTGGCTCTCCGAAGGGTTGATTGTAATGGACGATTTGTTGGGTGAAAGGATCGAGAGCAAGTGCCAGGATAACAATGAGGCAGGCAAAATACGACACCGGAGGAGCCCCCCTAGCTTGTAGGAAGAATTGCAAAGAACCTGCTGGCCCCCTACTAGCGTTATCAAATACCTGGAGTTGCTCAAGACTAGTAAATTCCGTTATTCAGATTCTAACATATTAGTTGGCTTGAGGTTCTTACTGTGACTTCTTGCTTTGTAGGTGGATCCATTTTAGTTGGCTTATGCACTCAGCCACGGGCAGGATTAAGCCAGCTTTACCAGCTGTAGAGAGAATGGAAATAACAACGTTTAGTGATACTGGTACGGTCCACTTCGACAGGGGCTTCCCATCAACATTATAAAGGATAACGACGATGGCCACGGTGCAAAGTATGCTCGAGGTAGCACTGAGGATTTCCTGCCACCATTCGCTCAGAACACCTGTCTTCTTTTGTGTTTGTATCTCGAAGATTTCCTGCTGACATGGTTCCATTATCTGATATGGATCCATTATCCCTTTACTCGGTATAGCAGACGTGTCAATGGACTCGTATGACTGGGGCTGGTGTTGGGATTTGGCTGCATCGGAAGCCGTCGTGCGTGTTGGGGAGAACGAGGAGATCGGTGAGACTATCTCGTGGTGATCGTTGCTAGGGAGGTGTGCCCACCCGCGTTGCTGTTCGGTTCGAACGTGTGGGTGGTCAGTATGCTCGTCGTCTCCGATCATGGCTGGACGGCTTGGAGGTCTGATTTGGCAGCCAGCCAGCCAGCAGGGTTGATGGTCGAGAAATGAATTAAACAGGAACCAAAACCGGAGAAGATTGAGTCCTCCGACTGTATTGCACGATTGAAGCGAGGATCGAAAGACTTTTCGGCTGGCCTCGAAGCCTCTAGACGCTGTCCTGTGAGGCCCATATCTATATCCTCTAATGGGTCGATCCACCCTCTCTAGCGCCAACAGACAATCGCATTGCATACGCAGGATTGCGGCACAGCACTCAGGGGTTGCATGACTTGTGAGTGAGCCCGAGAAGAAAATGCGGTTGGCTGTGGATATGAAACTCTCGGCATAGTTCTTGCCGCACCGCCGGGAAAGTGTGCTCAGAATCGTCGTAAATATGTATGTTTGGTGCTGATTGGGCTTATTCGAGGGTCTCTATGGTGATAGGTCGTATGGTGATGAATGTTGCACTGCAACTTGAATAGCATCACAGACCAAGACCGATGGAGAACTGACACACAAACCTAATCCAAGAGATCCCTGGCAGCTCAGTTTCGCACACCGCCGCCAGCTTCTTTCGCGTCCCAAGAGTTCGAACAATCGTCGCGCTCATTTGCCATGTTGGCCATACTCTACGTGGCACAATTGGCTTAGCTTGGGGACCCAGAGGGAATGGTAAGTATGCTACGACTTTGGTCAAGGGAAAATCAAAAGGCCGGGGTCTACTAGCACTGCTAACGGGCGCACCGCGAACCGTTGCGGAACGGAGCGGCCGGGGGGTCGCCGGTTCCGCGGGTATCACCGACTTGTGCAGTGCGGGTATCACATCCCCGCTGTGTGTGGAAAACGAAACGCAGCCCCCCCTGTCGTTTTGACTCATGTCCCCCCCCCCGGCTTTAAAATCTCAAATTTAAAACCCAGCTATATTTTATTACGCCTTTAGTAAAGAATTATACATTATAATATAAATTATATTTTTACGATCCTTATTAAATGTATTATTTAATAAAATATAATATTTAATTAAAAAGATATTAAAAAATATTATATAATTTTAAAATATATTATATATATTAATTATTTTAAATTTAAACTAATAATATATAATTATAATAAATTAATATAACTTAAAATATATATATATTAAATATAAAGTTATTTAAAATTAAATTAATTAATTAAATTATAATATTTAAATTTAATTAAGAATTATTAAATATTTATAATTTTAAATATTATAAAAATATTTTTAAAAATATAAGGATTATAATAATATATTGTAATATAATATAATTATTTGTATCATAATAGTTATATAAGAAATAGCTTATATTAAGAGGATTTGGGATTTGAGAGCAAAGGGGGGGGGACATGAGTCAAAATGACAGAGGGGGGGGGGGCTGCGTTTCGTTTTCCACACACAGCGGGCGGAACGTTCCCAGGATAGCACACCCGACCCCCAAACGCTTGAGGTATATGTAGCCAGACATGCAGGCACCACGACGCAGGTTTGTCGATTATTGTTTCTGAGCAATACATCCACACGGCGCTAAGAAGGATGGCGCGTAAAGAATACATTTTCAAAGGCGAGGGGAGCGGCGGCATCGCTGCTGATGTCTTGTATCCGGATGGAGACTCTGCTACGGCATCCCCTATAGGTTCGTGGGCAATGGTTGCCCCGGTTGTAGACAGTGACATGGTTGGCTGACACCCACTTGTTTGCAGCACTGTACTTCCACGGTGGGAATTTCACGGCCGGGTCCAAGGATCTGCTTTCCCAGAACCATGTTGAGAAACTACTCGGCCTGGGCTTCGTGGTCGTTGCAGCAAACTATCGACTCTGCCCCACGATCTCCGTGTTCGAGGGGCCAGTCACGGGTGCATTGGACGCGTATGGCTGGGCCCAGGACGTCCTGCCAGGTCTGCTGCACATAGATGCTGGTGTGCGAGTCGATGGCTCCAAGATTGTGGTGCTAGGCCATTCGGCCGGTGGTCTTCTGGCTCTTCTAACGGTACGTTCCGGGAAAGAGAGGCACACAGAGAGCTCCCTGAGTCAACGTCCGACTTTAAAGGATACGTTAAGCAATGTGCTGATTAGGAACCGCCACTACACAGGCTGGCTCCCCCAGACCGCCTCGAGCCATGTTGGACCTTTTCGGGATGAAGTATCTGCAGGATGCATCTCTCCACACGCCCAGTGCTGCCTTCGCAAAGCTCCCTCCCTTCGACCAGGCATTCCTCGATCAAATACACGAGCAAGTTCCTCCCCCGAGCAGCGGGCCGTCTCCCATGACGGCCAAGGGCCCGGACTTCTCCAACCCTAGGGTCGCGTGGATGTTCAATCTTGTCAAGGAAGGAAAACTTTTCTCGGCCGTCGTAGCCGATGGTAACTACGATCGGGTCGACCCTGCTACTTTGTTCGCCAAGTTGGGGGAAGAATTTCCCGCCCACGTATTTCATTCATGGGACAGCAGACACTCTCGTAGACTGGAAACTGTCACAGCGCGCACACGACGAGCTGCAGGCCAGCGGGGTCGACTCGAAAATAACCCTCGTCGACGGAGCGCCCCATGGATTCGACGCCAAGGCCCAACCGGGAGACGAGACATTCGCCATCGTAGAGCAAGGGTTTGAGTTTTTCAAGGCGCACCTGTGAAGTGTCTGCGGGGACGGGCCTGTTGCTGTGCCGAACCAATGCTCGAAACATGGCAACGCACGGTAAAAACGAAATAGCACTATGTCGGGTTAGACAGGTAGTCAAGCTGCGTGGTGACCATGCCAAGAATTGCCATGTAGTTGTCTTCTGTCGCGTCAAACGTGCCAAAAATATCATCCTCCACACCCTGCGGATGTATATCCAGGAGTTCGACTGCGGTCGACTCGGAAGACGCGTCCGTGCTGACGGCGTTGGGGGGCGTGGGCTTGTCGGGCGTCGGCATCTGGATTGTCTCGCCGAGCCTCCGCATCTCGTCCAGCGAGCACCAGAGCCTTGGTTTCGACCCGGATCCCGTGTAAGGAGAGGCTATCAGGAAGTCGATTGCTGCGTGAAACGCGGAGCGGCAGATGGGCCCGTACGCACTGGGGTTACATGAGGCTGCCAGAAACATGCACGACACCGACCCCATGATAAAACGGTCCGCCAGGGGGCCTTCGAGGCGAGTCAAACCCTGGTGTCCTGCGGCGTGGGTCATCTTTCCATACAGCGCGACAAGAGCCTTGGGAAGGGCAACGGTGTTCTCTGCGGACTGCTGTGGCCGGCAAGCAAGGGCCTTACAGGAGCTGAGGGATCTGAAATGCGCCAGCATCCTCAGATATGTTGTGCGCATCTGGAAACGACTCGAGGACGACGCGCTCGGCAGGCGGGGGCACCACGAGGGAATCTGGAGGGAAGAGGTCAACTCGTGACGTTTCCTCGGCCAACTTCTGGATGCGATGGTCCAGGTAGTCCATCCGATCGTTGATCTCTTTCGACTTGTAGCCGCCGCTCCCGGCCTTGGCCGTGCTGATCAATTCAAACAGCTCTGCCTGGATAATATTGAGATTGACCATTGCCGAGAGGAGCGGGTAACGCCCGTGCTATTACTCGCGGTCAGCTGTATTGTCTCCGGGGGTGGAGCCTTCGGCTTAGGCTTGTGTGAATAGATAGAACATCGTACCAGGTCCAAGACGCTGTCGTCTATTTCCGTGTCGTGCAGGTGGTACGGCAGATTCACCATGAAGCTGCATCGTTTGTCGAGATCGACAACGCAAGCCATCAGCCTCTTGAGAAAGCATGAGCGCTCGATTGTGGCGTTTCCATGTCGGTAATATCTCTCTTTATGGAGCCCGACCTCGAAAGCAGATTGGACCACGAGACCGGCCGATCGCCACGCCTTCCGGGCCTCCTGGCGCAGCATGAAATAGATGGTCTGCGCCCGTTCTTACGCATAAGCCTCGCACCCGTGCAAACAGAGACAACCTGCAGAGGAGGCACTCACCAGCAACGCGCCCATGATCACGTCCTCAATCTGGGCGTGATCTCTCCTAATTATGCTGTCGGCGTTCCAGATAAGATGGGTCTCTAGGGAGGAGCTCAAGGGACTGTCCGCGTTACCCTCGATGAGCATTCCGATGGCCAAGACCGCCTTTGTGGCCTCGATGTCGATCAAATGCACGCCCAGGTCCTGGACGCCGCCGGCGAAGGAAAGCAGCGAGGTCCTGAAGAGGGAGTCGATGTTTTCCTTTGCGAGCGTCAGGTCGATGCAGGGGTATAGGGGGAACAGGTGATCGCGGAAGGCGGCAAGGTGGGCCAGCGCATTCTCGTGGCCCAGCTCGAGCACGGGCCGGGCGGCTTCGAGCGGCGGAAGGGTTCTCGTCAGGCAGGGCAGGCTCTACCGGGGCCGGCTGGTCCGCATCGGCCTGGCTGGTGGTGGCCGGGACCGAGATGATGCCTCTCTGCTCTAGGATCCGTCTGGCCTGGTCCAGGGAGTCGACGAAGGCGATGGGGTCGGAGTTGCTCGCAGGGTTGGCGCCGGCCGTCTCGCTCCGGCGGCGTCTTGGCGAGGATCTGAATTGGGAAGAAGGGCTACCGAAGCGCTTGGTGGAGGACTGGATGTCGTCGCAGATCTTTCTCATGCTGGCGAGTAGCTGGCCGAGGTCTTGCTGAGTGGCGCTGGACAGGTCTGCCGCCGTGCAGTCCTTCCGGGGTGCCGCATTTGCGCGCCTGGGAGGTGCCGCACACCGTCAGCGATCCCGAGCACAAGTGCTTGCTCATGGTCATGGGACTGTAAGCACGAAGCCAGGGGATGAAGGGGGAGATCTAGGGAATAGAGAGCCTCGTCGTACGCGGTGTCGGGCTGCGGAACATAGTCGTTGTATCTGCAATTGGCGTTGAGCTCCACACACCGGCTACAGGGCAGGCTGCCGCTGCACTTGACCTTCCTCGTCTTGCAGGACTCGCTTCGGAGGGAGCGTTAGCCTGCGTCCTAGTCAAAATGTCTCGCAGGCCATGCACGGGAGCACGGCGCGGGTTGTCTGCATATGTAGAGTGGATGACCAACCATGCGATGCGCGTGTATCTCTCTCGCTTCCGGGAGCGTTGCTGAGTCTCACGGCCCTCTGCGTCATGAGCTTGGGATCGCTTCTTACTGGGCATAATTGGCGGTTTACTTTTCTCGGGAGGTAAGGGGGGGGTGGTGGGTAAGAAGGCTGACTCCAGGGCTGGGACGACGGATATTGAGTGAGAAGCACTGAAGCAGGACGGGACTCGCAGGCCAGAGCAGGGTGAGCGTCCAATCGCCAGCGGTGAAATGTCTTCGCTGGGCACAATGTGGGCCCGGGCCCGGGGAACCAATTAACCCCGCAGGCATGGAGGCCCCAAAGGGCGCCTTGTTCGTACACGCATAGACTACTCCGTATTCACCTCGGCATTACTAGCGACCGCATGTACATCTACACACCCTGCGGTAGCGTTCAACCAGAAGCTTGAGCCACGCTAGCATTGGCAAGCCAAGCCCTGCTTGCCGCCCTCGTGAGTCGTTGCAGACGTGTCCGAAACACAACGGGGGACACGACTACTTAGTCTCAACGGCACAGCAGCAGCAACCCCCCTGCCCTCGCACATCTCCTGCCTAGTTGGCCCGGAACGGTGGAGCTTCCCCGGAGTGAGGAGTGTGATCCCGTCCCGCCCCGTGGGGCTGTCCTTGAGCTTGTGAGTCGGCCGGCCCACTGCCTTGCGTAGCGGGTGTTGCGGTAGTCTCATCTCCTCCCCGCCGTCCGGAACTGCCCGCGGAAACGGTAGTGTCGTGCTAACCACGTGGGGCCTGCTGCTTCGAACTACGTGGCACGCGATCGATCTCCAGGCGCTGTACGAGCACCGTGTTGAGGGCCTACGGGACCATGGTAGGCTGCGTTCCATAATGCTAGGCGACACAACGTCCTATGGCAAGAAAGACGATGGTCAGCAGTACTTAAAAGGGCTGTGGGCCGCGTGTGCCGGTGGGGGTGGGGGAACAGAGAGAAAATCAAAAGCAGGTAGGACCGTAGGAGGCGGCTCATTTGCCCCGTGCAGTGTTTCAAGGCCTGTGGTCTGGCTCGCTATTCTTCACAGCTTACCCTTTGCGAGCATCGCCACCACCTTCTCAGGCTGGTTGTGACCGTCAGCAACTATACACTGCATGCTACCCTACCAACAGGCAGACTCCTCGCTCTCGATTCTTGCCTATGTTCTTCCGTACTGCCCACCCCAAGGAACCAGAAATCCCCCAACTGCAGCATATATCTCAGGCCCCACAGTCAAGCATGGCTTGCAAAGTTTCTCACTGAGGTTGACAGGGGTCAATGACCTTTCCCTCCCGATTGCATGTCGCCTTGAGAGCCAAGATGTTGGATCGGTTATGTATATATGATCCCGATATGATCTCGTCCGGGGAGTTCGCGGAAACTCGACATTCTCGAGCCTACTGACTAGGTAATCATACTGACAGGACCGGGTCACAACCTGTTTATAAAGTTTCGACGGGCGTCAGTAGGCTTCTCAACACGCCTGCACCTTGTCCCCCCCGGGCCGGTGGCACACCAGTGTGGCGTTGCATGCTTTCAGCGTTACGGCGCTGTAAGACCAAGAAGCAGTGGAGAGCCCTGAGTGTGCCGAGTGGCCATGAAGCATCCATGGTGTCGCAGTGAATGCAGAACAAAATTGCACATGAACAATGTGCCAAATCATCAACCGCGTTATACAAGACCAGCCCATGAAACCAACATATGGCTCAGGAGGCGACAATGGCAACAAAATCGCTGCCGTTTCCGTTCGCACCGTTCAAGGTTGCAGGGCGGTGCAAGAGGTTGTACTGCAAATGCGCAATCCAGACTGTTTGTTCATAATGAGAATACCCCAGTCTCCCTGCGATAGTGTGACAACCCATGGCGAAGGACAACAAAATTAAGACATTACTCTGCTGATCGTAAAAGGGATCAAGGACATTAAGGCGCTTGCACAACTCACAGTGAACGTAACCAACTTTGTTACTACTACAAGAAACAGTGCTGCCTGTTCAAATCGGGCAACAGAAATCCTCGCGCGGCAAATTTCTCCCCCCCCCTCCCCCAGCGTTTCTTAAGCTTCATTTCCACCAATTTCTCAGGCGAGATTTTATCATATAAGTTTAGGCACAACTGAGGCGTTAAAAGATCACTGCAAAGAGGCCTCTATAGTCTTGGTTGAGGGATAAACATCCCTGGCTGAAACCTGAGATATCAAGGCAATCCTCGAACAGACAGGGGATTTTTCATTGCAAACGTGTAATTATCAAGTAGAAGACCGTTGTCACCGAGAAGAAGTTCTGCTGAACTCAATTCCTTGAAGGAGCGGATTACTGAACAAGACATCACATCCAGCACTGACAAGTTTACCAAGCACTGAGATGGGCGGCACAAGACTGTTAATGTCCATTCTCTCTGGTCTTCTCATGGCGTATCTCAATAGCTCATGCCTAATTACTCCGACGCACTGTTTTGCTATCTCAGCCTGTTTGTGAACACTTGTGGAGTAATGAACTCCTCTCTATCTTTCTAACTCAAACTATTTCTAAATGTCTAAACTCTTAATTATTTCGGAAGGATAGCTCTTGAAAAGAAAACTCGTTTTATACGCGTGGGGTGGGGGGCTAGGGAGAGAGAGTCTTTGTGTGTAATAGCCAACTTAGCTCACATAATTTGTTGCAATATGACCTTGCCTCCTAGTCTGATACATGAAATGATTGCTGGTCCTTGATGAGGATTCTAGGCATACCAGTAAGGACAGGGATAATAGTGTGGGCATGTGAATCAGGCAGAGGTTGGGGCCGAGGGCGACGCGAGGCACCGTGTGTCTTAAGGCAAAGCTTTCAACTCTTAGCGTCTATGGGCAGATTAATTGGGTGTGTTAGAGGGCGACTTCAGGTTATCAACTGTTGGTACATTGCTTCTGGCAAGATACCACTCAACCTTGAAAATGCTGTACCGGGTATGTGGGGTTCTTCTAAACGGTTGTTAAGCGGTGCAGTTATCGTTTAGGGTGTCTAAACTGCGGGCAATTGGGAGGGGAAGTTGAACCATTTAAAATCTCTAAGTAGTTTAAAATTTCTAAGTAGTTTAAAATCTTTAAGCAATTTAAAGCTTAATTAATAATTTAACTAAGTTATATATAAATAAATTTAATATAATTTATACTTATTTATTAAGTAAAAAACAAAAGTTACTTTTTTATAATAATATAATATATATAATATATAATAATATAATAATAATAATATATAATATAATAATAATAATATAATAATATAATAATATAATAATATAATAATATATAATAATATAATAATATAATAATATATTATTATCTTAATTAAGAAAGTAAAAAGGAAAAGAACGGGAAAAAAAAAGCTTTAAAAATATTTAAAAAAAAGTAAAGATAAAGATAAAGGTAAAGGCATATAAATTTAGCTTAAAATTTAATTTTATCTTAAATAAATTTTATTCCTAAGCTTTTAAAGGTACTTCCACCCCTTTAATTACTCCTTCCTTTAATTATTTAAGCCCCTTTAAACTGCTTAGGGATTTTAAATCGCTTAGAGATTCTAAACCGCTTAGAGATTCTAAACGGTCCAACTTCCCCTCCCAATTTTGAACCCCTTACCTGCCCCCAGTCTGGCCGGTATAGTGAGGCCAGAGCGGCCCTCATGCTAGGCTGTGCGGACACTCCGGTCAAGGGGGTGAAGGACGCCCGTGGAGGGGGGTCATTGGGGTTGCTCGGGTGCTCTATCAAAAGGGACGGGCGAGAAGAGGTAGTTATAGTTTGCCTAGGAACTTATCTTTTCAATATCTCAAGTCATTATAAACTGCTAAGCTAGCAGGATTCCCTCTTTGCCCCAACCCTCACAGCAGCCCACATGAGAGCCTTCCAAGTCCACTGCCGAGGGCGACCGACATTACATTCCAAGTCCCCTTTCACACGGTAGGGTCCTACGGACCAGTCTAGGCAGGGCCTCAGCATCTCAAGTCCTTGTTAGAATCCTTTAGTTTGATTATGCCCTGGAGCGGCTGTCTCGGTTAGTAAGGGGAGAACACATTCCGTCATGGAATGACAACATTGACAGCTGATGAGTTGACTGGGTCCAAGGGCAATCGGTGCTCAGGAAGCAACCTGCTGGCTGCATCAACAAAATATGACATAATTTGGATACTTGGGATTTTCTCAAGTCCCAGAAATTGGCATCTCCTACTTCATAAACAGCACGTGTTGGCTCCAGCAGTTGCGTCTGATATACACTTGTTTATACTCAAATTACCCATGTGCCAAATAAAGGGCCTTCGGGGACGTTTCTCAGTCTCGTTGAAATCATCGTAATTCACTTCATCTCCAATCGGATACGGCTGGAAAGCGTATGTTGTTGAGAGGCCATCAGCCATGGTTAGAAAAGTCCCAACCCTGCCCAAGTGCAAAGCACCTAAAGCCAGCACAATTTTATCAATCGATTCGAACCACTATTGTGTCATTTGACAACGTGCCAAGTCACACTATTCCCCGAAATTAACCGACTAGAGCAAGATCAGACGCATCGACTTGCTTAAACAGCTTACCGATCTCGGTATTGAGGACGAAAGAAAAGGAGCAGCCACAGTGGAGATATCAACTCAACGCCTGGGAAACCCGTTGTCGCCTTTGAGGCTGCCGGGGACTGGTTGGAATAACTGTACGCCTTGAGGCTCCCCGGAGCATTGGCGCTTGCCATAGTGAGACACTATCTTCTCAAATTTAGATGAAGAGCACGATGCTGTAGTCTTTGCTGTCGTACACTTGGACATAGCTTTACAAGGCAGATAACACCGTATCGTTTGCAGTATCACATGTGCAGTTGGCCCGTGTCCACAGCCTCACGCGGCGGGAGAGGAGGGCCACCTGGAGAGTCAACCCGGGAGGGTCCCATCAGAGTGTACTGGGGCTGGGTACGACTGCGGGGGATGAGAATACAATACAGACCAATTCACAAAAGGAACAATCTCTCGATGTAGGCTGTGTTACGGGACAATCAGTTAAGTGCGCGACACTCTCGTCGGCTTCGGCTGGTGGTCGCGAGACCCGAGACCCAGCGCAGACAAGCTTCGAGACTGCAATAGAACCACACGTGTTCCGCACCGACGTGCACTATTGCCCGAGGCGGGTCAAACCCACGTGGTTTGAGGCAGACGGCCGATGTAATCCCCTCGGAGCCCCAAAAGCTTGAAATTGATGGCTCGAATCCGTTAGTCTGAGGCCATATGTGGCCGTATATCCAGCCATGACATCCATCACCCGGTGTGCGACTATCGATATGACTCATGACGAGGCCCGTTCCGACGCGGCCATGAGGCTGCAGGGACCAGGCGTTCCATTCTGAAGCTGACAAGGGTGCTCATGTTGATCATCCGGACTCGCTTATAATCCCCGCAAACACGCCCTATAGCTGACGTCTCGGCTAGTTTTTGCTCGTCTAAGTGACCTGGATGACATATCTACAATTTTCGCCCACGGATGTGTCGGTGCAGCTCTCTTGTAATTGCTGACGTGAGTCGGCCGGTGACTGGACACCGGCCGTGTGGAATCTCCTGTCCCCGTCGCAGGGGTGGGTTCCCGCTCAGCCTCGGAGGACAGTTCCTCATCCGTTGAATAATGATCAAAGCACCCTATAGTGGACCTGCCAAGTTATAGCTCGTTATCGGTCGGATGCGATCCAAGAAATCAGGATCGATCGGGTCTTTGCCGAACCTACGGCCTGCAGTATATCATGGAAAGAATATCCCCAGGAACGTGCTTGTCTCTCTTCCGGACGTGCTCTACAGCCCTGTGTCCGCAGTCTCACCAGTCAACCCTTCCCAGCCTGAGAGCTCCCAGCCTCGTCATCCATCCCTTGTGTCTTCCGTACGAGCTCATCCGACAACATGCATTTCGCCAACCTCGCCCTCGCCGCCATGGCTACGGTCGGCCTTGCCGCCCCCGCGACCAAGCGTGACATTCTGCCCACCGTTGTCTTCACCCCCGGAGCTTGGCACGGAACCTGGGCCTTCGACACGGTCCGCTCTCAGCTCGAGGTGCTTGGGTATCCCACAGAGGCCGTGGCGCTGCCCTCCGTCGGCAATACCAATGCCTCCGTTGGCGTGGCTGAGGATGCTGCTGCTCTCGCGGCCGAGCTGGCCACGCTCACCGATGCCGGAAAGAATGTCGTCATGGTGTGCCACAGCTATGGTGGCGTAGTCGCATCCGTTGCTGCTGAGGGATATGGGTATAAGGACCGATCGGCCGCCGGGCTTGGTGGTGGGGTTATCATGTTGGTCTACATGACTGCCTTCGCGGTGCCGGCTCAGACCAGTCTCCTCGACGCTCTCGGCGGCGAGTACCTGTGGTGGATGAGCCCAGATGCCAGCGTGAGTCCCTCCGGCTATTGTATTTCTTTTCCAATAGGAAACCCAGATGAGCTGACTGTGCAATAATACTACAGGGCGAATTCATCACCGCGGTCAACGGAAGTCAGGTCTTCTACGCTGATGTGGCAAACGAGACCCTCGTTGAGGAAGCCGTCGCTGCTCTCAAGCCTGAGCCTGCCCGTATCTTCTCCGACGACAACACATACGAACCCTGGAACAACGGTGTGGAGGTCGGCTTTTTCTTCACCGAGCAGGACCAGGCCATCCCACTCGCAACTCAGCAATCCATGACGGCTCAGTTCCCAAGTGGCTATGTCTCTTACACCATGAACAGCTCTCATTCGCCGTTCATGAGCATGCCGGAGAAGGTGACCGAGGGCGTTGTGCTTGCTGCCACCGCGGGTCTGACAAAGATGCTTCTGTAGGAGGGACGGAACGGGAACAAGAAGTACATTATTTAACATTTCTCCAATGGATACAATTCTCATTCAGTCTGGTCTTCAGACTGGCCATGTATGTCTGTGGCAGAGTGGCGCCCTTGTGGTCCGTTTTTAAGCGTAGCTGGGAGTGACCCAAGCTTGCGAGGGGCGCTCCTGGCTGCGGTTAAGTTTAATACCATAAATCTATAAAATGTTTCTGAAGCAGTAATTAATTCATTATTATACCCTAAGTCTACTTATCGCTAAATTCTTCTTATTATTAAAGCGCTAAGGATTGCCGTTGCTAATATAATAAAATCCTTAGCATAGCGGCGATAAAGAAAATAATAATAAAAAGCTTAAGCCCCCTTACCCATTTATTTATGCTTAATAAAAAGTTAAATATGATAAAAAAGGGGGTTTAAGGGGTCCTCCCTTAAGGAAAATTTTTTTTTATTTTAAATAGCTCTTTACTTAATATAAGTTACTTGAAATTATGCTTACCCCTTAATATAATTCATTAAAGGGCTCCTTAATTAACAATATAATCATAACCCTCTTAGCTAATAATTTAAAAGCTAAGCAAAATTAATACTATCCCTATAATGTGCAAAGGGCCATATAATATTAATTTTGGGGAACCGCACCTGGCTTCTAGTATACTTCTTCTGGACGAGGATGGCATGGGTCGGTTTTCTGCTTGCTGTGCTCACACTGGCTCATCCACAGTCTCGTCGAAGATGTCAAATCCGATCTTGGCTGTCACATTCATAAAACGCACTCTCCCGGTTTCCATGTGCACTCTGTTCATTTGTTCGAACAACTCGTCGGAGAGCCTTGCGATTGTGCTCTTCTCGATCATGCGCGACTGGCTCATTGTTTTGGGCACGACCGGGATGCCACGCTGTACAGCCCAGGATAGGCAGACTTGGGCAGGAGTCATCCCGCATTGCCTGGCAACCTGAACGATCGCTGGGTTGTTCAGAGGTGACGATCCGGTATCATGGCCCTCACGGCCGTTGTTTACTGGCTCGCCACCCAGAGGCTGATGGGCCACGACAAGAATGCCATGGCTGTGGCAGAATTCGACGAGGTCGTGTTGTGGAAGCAGCGGGTGTAGCTCAACTTGGTTCACTGCCGGGAGGATCCGGCATGTCGACAAGATGCGTTTTGCCTTGGTTATGCTGAAGTTCGCTAGTCCAATCGCACGAGCCTTGCCTTTGCGGACAAGGTCTTCCATTGCCGCCCACGTACTTTGGTAATTTCGGGACAAGTCGACATCCACTATTGGCCTGCCACTACCGTCCGGGTTACGCAGCGCGTTGTGCTCAGAGTCAATCTGGTAGGCGTGGGGGACTGGCGGGTGGTATTAATACGACACATCCAGTAGTTTATTTGTTACGTGACTGAATATGAACCCACAATGCATCAAGTACAAATCAACTGAGAGATAGATTTAGTCGTCATTGTTTTGTGAAGGTCAGGGTCCTGCTTACCGTAATCGGTGCCAGGTGCTTCTAAGCTGCGATTCATGGCCTCTTCCACGTCCTCGGATTTGTGCCAGGTATTCCATCTGTTACGGTTATCACACTGAGTCAGAAGCGTGGAAGGGTTACGTACAACTTCGAGGTTATGAAGATTTCTTCCCTGGAACAGCCGCTTTCTCGTATAGCCTGCCCAACGTGGATACAACCTTTGTCACGCCGTCATTCCCCGCGATCGCCTGGAAAGTACCCAGGCCTACCGACGGTATCTGATGCCCCGTATTCAGTGGAAAGGACTTTGGGAGTACCATCGTGGTTGAGGCTTGAGTCGCTGATGGCGTCTCTCGAGACGTTGCGGCCTGGCAGCTGGGAACGAGTATCGTAGTTCAAATCCCTCTGAGGCAACATGTTTACGTTCGAGCAACATAGTTGAAATCTGGGAAAGCGGGGTGATCGAGGAGAAGAGCAGCTAGGCACGTGACACTCATGTCAAAGTCCTGGTATGAGAGACAGGGGCAGGGAAGCAACATGCGGTTCTAAGTGAACAAGGCGAAAGACTTGATTTAGACAATCATGCGCCCTTCCTTACTCACGATTAAAAATGAAAACCCAATCTTGGTCTAGGGCGGGAATCAGTTTATAGTCCTGAATTTTATGATTGCTTATGTCAGGAGGCAAAAATGCCTGCTAGCTGCTCTTGAATAACAGGTACTGGTCATATTCTTTTCCTCTGGATTCTTGTTATATCACCCTGATTGATTCTGGAATTTTATTCTGACCCACGCTCTTTATACATGTCAAAACCGCCTCTGTACTTGTCGATTAATCTCCGCATGTCATCTAGAACCCTTTTAGAGAAAGCGCATTAGTGTCGTGAACCCCAAGCAAGTGTGTTATATTTACATTTGGAAACATTTCGTTCTGTCGGGAAAGATCGTTGCACCATTTGCGTTGAAGCGCCTGGCTATTCAAATAGTTGAGTCAGCTTGTTTAATTTTGTTTATCGGTAGCAGCAGCACGGGTGTACAAACAAACAAGCTGTATAGTGCGTTCCTGTCATCGTAGTCCTCCTCGGGCTCACTTTTCGGGATATGGGTGTGACAAGCTTCAAAGTAGCGCTGTGAAAACATCTTGCGTTCAGGACGCCAGTTTCCCAACTCATCTATCCCCTAGAGTTAATACATTTACGTGGGACACCAGACCAACACATTTCAAGGGCATACAAACATTCGTTGTGTGCCCAAAAGCTAGCTGGGTCAAAGGATATGCCCTCTTCGGTATCCTCGTCAATGATTGCAGCATTGCCACACCATAGGTCACCATGAACGAATGATGGCTGCAGTCTCCTCCCGGCAGATTCCAGTGGCCGCAGGAGCCGTATGATGACTTTGCCATAGAAATCAGGAAGCATTGCCTCGAGCGCCGGTTGTGGACCAGCCCTCCCCCAACATACCTTGAAGACATGTTTCATGCCATTGGTGAAGCACTCTTCCCAGCTGCTGGACCAATTATTGTCTTGTGGCAGGTTTCCATTGTACTTTGTGACGTGAAAGCCGAACTTCCCTTGTGGAGAGGTATGGGCCGAGTGTAATTTTGCGACTTTGTCGCAGAACGACCTTGGCTCAGGAACGCCCTCTGACATTTCATAGAACTTGCAGATATAGAAATGGGAGCCAGGGTCGGTCTTGAATGTGTCTCGTGCGATAGGATCTGGGCAGAGGTCGGGGGCGATCGTGAACATTTGCCGTGTAGCCTCAAACTCGCCCCTGAGTGCCTCATGGCCATGGTGTCCCTCGGAAACCTTCATGAAATACGCCCCGTCAGTCCCATCGAGATGCTTAACAGTGACTCGATAGGCCTTTGCCCATGGTGATTGCGTGTGTAAGCTGATCTCAAAGATTTCGCAGACATCTGCAATCACTGTAAATGTGTCAGCGCAGCGCCCTGCAGTCTTTCTGATGGTCATAACTCTTGATGCATTTGCTGCAGAGTCCTTGTTTGCTCACCTTCCAGCAGTTGAGGCATTTGTGAATCCATCTTGGCGATCTGCCGAACGAGGGCAGAATTTCAATTACCCTGAGCTCTTGTGCAGCGTTTGTAAGTGAACACAGAAGTCCTGCACTCATTCCGATGGCTTGCACCGTATTATTCTTAACATAGCTGGGTTGCAACCAGGCTACCATGCAGGTCTCGCTTGCCCACCGCGCCTCTGAGCGGGATTATGCAGTTGGTTGCCTCAAAACTAAAATAGCCCAGGATCTGTGTGTGCACTGGTCGGCTACCGATCGCCTCGATGTGTGGGCGGTTGAACGACTGGCTGTGGATGAAGGGTGCTGAAGCCAACAGTTTTTGGCGCTTTTGCCATCACCTCTTGGCGTGAACGGGCTGACATGCGGCGTTGCACCACTCCAGCACTTGATTGTGACCGAGAACGTGTTGTTGTTTCCTGGGTAAGACTCTTCGTCTGTTTTCACGCTCTTTATCTCAAACAAACAGACGAGAATTACGGCTGATTGCTTGATTTTGCTTTATCAGGATCAGAATCAACCCAATGAAACCGACAACACGACTACCTCGAAAGAACGATCCATCCCCCAAAGCGCCCGCCGCACGACCAGCTACAGCCTCCGCGGCCTTTTCCGACGCTCCGCTGCGTCGCCGGAAAATGAGGAAGCCCCATTCGACTCACATGGACCGTTGGGACTCCATACACTCTTTCATCCAGAGCCAGGGCAGTCGTGTCTTGTCGATATCGTGTTCGTCCACGGCCTGGGCGGGGGCTCTCGAAAGTCGTGGTCCTTAACACCGTCGGACGATGGATTATTCTGGCCCCAGTCCTGGCTCCCGCACGACGCAGACTTCCAGCAAACCCGAATACACTCGTATGGGTACGATTCTAACTGGGGCAGTCGAACAAGGAGTGTTCTCAACATCCACGACTTTGCCCAATCTCTACTAGCCGCGATTAAGAATTATCCACCAATAAGACGCTCTGCGACGCAAATGATCCTTGTAGGGCATAGCATGGGTGGTTGTATTGTGAAGAAAGCATATGTTCTCGCGCGTCAGAACCACATCCACGAAGAGTTCGCGTCTCGATTCCACTCTATGTTCTTCTTGGGTACCCCTCACCGCGGCTCGAACTTGGCGAGGTAGGGTATGCCCACCCAGCTTCCACAGTACGCCCACCCAGCTTTCAGCGTTGGCCCACCCAGTATAAGGAAATTGGCTGCATATATTAATAAAATTAAGTACTTTCTTAATAAGTAAAAAGCTACCTTGCATCCTTAAAAACGCTATCTTAGCTAAAAAGGGCTTTTAAGGGTAAAGAGGGCCCTTAAGGGTAAAGAGGGCTCCTATAGGCAAAGAGGGCTCCTATGGGCAAAGAGGGCTCCCAAGGGCAAAAAGAGCTCCCAAGGGCAAAGAGGGCTCCCAAGGGCAAAGAGGGCTCCCAAGGGTAAAGAGGGCCGGTAAGGGTAAGGAGGGCCCTTAAGGGTAAAGAAGGCCCTTAAGGGTAAAGAAGGCCCTTAAAGGATAAAGGGCCTTTAAGGATAAAGAAGGCCTTAAAGGTATAAAGGACTGCCTTAAAAAGTAAAAAGAGTCTTAAGTAATTAAAAGGGCCTTAAGGGATATAAAAGGTGTAAAGGGGCATAAAGGGTATAAAGGGGCAAAAGGGCAAAGGGGCAAAGGGGCGGAGGGGCAAAATCTAAAGTATACCTATATTTTATTAATGCATGCAGCTAATTTCTTTATACTGGGTGGGCCAATGCTGAAAGCTGGGTGGGCGTATTATGGAAGCTGGGTGGGCGTACCCTGCCTTGAACTTGGCAGTGACTCTCTGCAATATCCTGCAAGTGGCCTGGGGCTCGAAGCCATATGTCGATGACCTGGCCCCAGACTCAGCGATATTGATGATGATGATGAACGACGACTTCCGCGTCTACGCTTACGACCTACGTTTATGGTCGTTCTTTAAGACTGTCCCTATGACTGGCCTGAATAGGCTGGTGGTTGATAAGGTGTCTGCTACACTTGGTTTCGGGAATGAAGAAATGTCTTTCATGGATGCAGACCACAGGAATGTCTGTAAATTTAGGAATCAGCAGGATCCAAATTACCGAAAGCTCCGCAACAGCCTATGCAGTGCAATCGACATGATGAAGACAGACTCAGCCCTACCTCGAGAAATGGATCACGCAGGCCGAGCCACCAGCCGCTCAAAGCCACGGAGTTTCCTGCTGTCAACTGACATGGATTCCCTCGAAGACGACCTCGCAACACTGGAAGAGCTCAAAACCACCGGTTCTTGCTCGTGGCTAACAGAAATACCTCAGTTTCGTTCATGGGCAGCTCGCATCACAACTACCTGAGGGGCTTCGTATGTTCGTCACAAGTCGCAGCTTGCCTGAGATAGAAAGAGGAATCTTGTCAATGGGCTCACGGATCTACGTCCATGAATTGACTTCGATCGATACCCTGGAGGACCCACGCCTGTATGTCAATACGATACTTGACGAGATGGCTTACAAAGATGCGGCTAAACTCGTGGAGAGAATTCTTGCGAAAGCCAACGGCTCAATTTTGTGGACACGTCTCGTTGTCCAAGATCTAGAAATGGTCTTCACGGAAGAAGAGGTGGACGGAATACTCAACGACATCCCTGATGACCTGTTTTCTGTCTATGAGCGCATCCTGCGAAGTATCGAGAGCGACCGACGGCGGGCAAGACTCGCGAAATCGATATTGACATGAGTGTTACTTGCTGCGCGGCCTTTGACAGTGAAAGAACTCCAGCACGGGGTCAAATTGGACATTCACGACACAACGCAGCCGATAGAAAGGACCATCATTGCAACATGTGGGCAATTGGTTTTCATTGACCCTACTTCACGCGTCCAGCTGGTCCACGAGACTGCGAGGGCGTTCCTCCTCAGCGAGGAATTGATCTCGGAACTCGCCATTTCAGCACCATCTGGTCATACTCGGCTAGCAAGTCTATGCGTGAAACATCTTTGTAGACGGCGAAAGGTTCTTTACTGTGGGGAGATCGAATGGAATGATTTGTGTCTATGACATGCCATCTTTAGAGAGCAGCATGAGCATGAAGCACCCAGGTCGAGTTGCATGCATCGAGTTTGGGACCGAGGACGCGCACGTGGCTTCTGCAGGGAAAGACCAAATCATTATCTGGGACCCAAAGACGGGAGCTGAATTTCAACGGTTCCAGAACGTGCAGGCTTTAGCAATGCAGCTCACATCGGATAATCGAGCTCGACTGGCATCAAGGTCTAGTCAGCTTATTACGGTCGATCTCAAGTCCAGACCCACGAAAAGAATCTGTTTGACTGGAGCGAATTCTGGTTCATCATTCCTGCCAAGCCAACCGCCTACAAAAGCCGCACTGTCGGTTCCAGAGCTTGGCATGCTTGCTCTTTACCACCGAAGCCACCCAGTCATGTTGCTAGACACCCAGACCGGCTCATTATTGGGCCAATGTACGGTTGGCTGGAACAATGGAATTAACTCACTGGTGTTTAATCCTAGGGTAGATATAGCCGCTCTGGTTGTGGCCTACACCGACGGGAACCTCGTTGTCTACAATCTTCACAACTTCACGTCTACCTTCCACACGGAACACGTCTCCGCTCATTCCTTGGCTTGCTCTTCGGACGGCAGAAGTCTGTTGGCGGGAAGCAATAACGGGGTTATCGAAATCTACGAATTCACTGGGATCGAGGGGAATCAATTGGAGCTGATACACCGTATTGCAACAGACGAACCGGACATCCGAGGCATGGCGTTCAGTAGTGATAGTTTACGCTTCGTCAACATCTGCCCCAGCAGATGCCGTGTCTGGGAGCCGGCCGCACTTGCTCGCCGTGACTCGGAATGGATGAGCGCCAGCGACCTTAGCGCATTGGTACCTCTACCGGCAAGAACTTGAACCGCGGGTGGAAACCCAGTCATTACTGCTCTCGAGTACGTTCTTGAGAGGAACATTGTCATTTGCGGAAAAGAGAATGGCGACGTGGTCATCTTTTCTGCTGAAGACGGCTCTGAGCTCGAGGTTCTCTACAGCCATTCAAAGACTGTCTCTGTGGTAATTATCCGTTTCCGCTGTTGCAGACAAGGGGATTGTGGCAATCGCCGACAACTCAGGACGCATTATCGTGACGAAGGTGGTACATAAACATCCACGTTGGTCCCAAGCAGTAGAAAAGTTAGACATACGAGTCGGACGCGCCATTAACAAGGTGATATTGTCTCCCAACACAGAATGCCAGTGGTTACTGGTCAGCGGTGTGCGGCCGACGAAATTTGGAACGTTTCGGATGGGACAGTCACCTCGAGGACTGATTGGCCTGACAATAGCCACCGTGCGATTCAAGCGCATCCACTGGCCAATGACCGCTTCGTGGTCATCCGAGACGACTCTGCTCACCTGCTCCATTGGGATGATACCGCTCCGGCTGTTGTGGCAGGGATGCAATGTCGCAGGATTGGTTGTCTGAGCAATGCACCGTTCTCGACCCAAGCAGTAACATATCGATGGAACCACAAGTGGCTTACACAAATGGTCAAGTCCGTGGTGATCAGGAGCGCACGAGCATTCGATGTTGGCTGAGCTCCTTCTTCCTATCCAAGGTTGCATTCCCGGACCCTGTGATAGCTCTGGACCAAGACAATGGCATTGGGCCAAGAGTCAGACACCTTCTTGGTTTGAGCGGTTCTCACTTGATCTTTGTTGATTCCAGTCCCTGGGTTTGCAGCGTTGACCTGGACACTTTCAAAACCGCGACGCTTGCAAAACGGCACTTTTTCATTCTGCCCGAGTGGCTGAGATCTGATGGAGAACGTCTCTGCGAAATAACGGAGAACCTTGACATCCTGTTCGCCAATGGGGACGGGCTTGCTGTAATTAAGCGTGGCATGCAGTTTGTCGAGTCGATCATGCCTTAAGTGAGAGAACGGATATTCGCAGAGCAAAAAACGGATGGCGCAAAGCAAGCCCCGCCACTGCAGCCAATCAAAGCCCACCATTCGCACGCCCACAACTTATACACGCTTATACTTAACTTATACCGTTAATTTGCATAACTAAGTTATATGCTTAAATTATATACTTAATTTATTTATTTACTTTATATATTAATATAATTATATAAATAAAAGATATTAATTATATAAATAAATTAAAGATAATATAATTTATTAATAAATAATATACTTTTATAACTTTTGCTAACTTTAATTAACCCTAGCACTTACTTAATATAAATAATTTAATTAAATTTAATATTAATTAATATTAATTATAATTAAATTTTTATTTTTAATTAATTTACTTAATTTAAAGTAATATAAATAATTATAATTTAAATAAAAGTAATTAAGTTTTAATAAAAGGATTATTATTTAATAAAAATTATATTAATACTTTTTAAATTAATTTTTTATTTATTTATTTATTTAAATATTTAATATATTAAAAATTAATAATTATAATATTAAAACTTTTAAAAAAAATAAAATACTTTTAATTATTTAAGTAATTAAAAATTCTTAAGAAAAATATATTAAACTTTTTAAATTATATAAAGTTATATAAATCTTTAATATTTTTAAAATTATATCTTATTATAAAATAAATTAATAATACTTTTAAAAAGAATTATATATTAATATATATAAACTTAATTAAATTAAAAAATAAATACTTATTTAATATATTATTAATTAAAATATTTAAAGTTTTTTTTATAACTTTTTAATATAAAAGATATAATTAACCTTTTATTAATATTATAAAATGCTAAATTTATTAATAAGTATAAAGCTTAATGCTTTATAAATTAATAACTTAGCCTTAAAATTAAATTTAATTATTTTTATAAAGTTTTAAAAATTATTAAAAAATAATTTAAATTACTTTATAATATAATAATTAAATATTAAATTATTAATAATAATTTTTATAACTTTAATAAAATTAACTTTATAATAATAATAATAATAATAATAATAATAATAATAATAATTTATTTGCGCTATTTTAAGCTATTACTAGCTAAAAACCATTTAATATATAATCCCTTTGCTAATTTACCTATAAGGAAAAACTATATTAAATGGCTGGAAAAAGCCCCTATGCCGCAACCTTTTCACAATAATATAACTATTTATTTACATTATATTAAGTAATATAAGCTTTATATCTATACTTAAAAATCTTTAAAAAGGGAAATATTTCCTTTTATCTTATAACTTTTTTGCAAAGTTTTTAACTTACTTATTTATTATTTCCTAAATAAAAAGATAATAAAAAACTATTTATATAAATAGCAAAATTTAAGCTAAAAAGTATAAATAGCTGCAACCCCTTACCCATTTTTCTTTCTTCTTTTTTTAATAATATATTATTTCTTAAGTAAGTTCTTAATTATTAACAACTTTACAAAGTACTTAAGTGCTTTATGGTAATGTTATAACCCCTTTATAACCTTTTCTTAATAATTCCTAACTTTATGCCTTTATTGCAATCTTTATAACCTATTTATAATCTTTGCTATATTAAATAATATTAAGAATATAGCTAAGGCCTTAAATTAATATTTTTACTTTTACTTTACAACCTTTAATAATCTTGCTAAGTCTTTTAATGGAATTAGCAATAATAATAATAATTTTTAAGAGGTTTTAGCATCCTTTTAAAAGTATTGCTGCATTAATATTGCAACCCTTAAGAAATTTAGCTTTAAGGGCATTACTTTAGCTGCTATAAAAAGCATTATTAATAACTTTGCTATAACCTTTCCTAAGGCCTTTAAAGCAATATTTGCAAACATAACTTTATAATAAGTATAATTACTTTATTAATAATTATTATATATATTAATAAGTATAAAAAAGTTAAAATAATTTAATTTAATAATTAAGAATAAGTAATTATTATTAAATATATTAATATAAATAAGTTATAAATTTTATTATTTATAATTATTTAAGGTATTTATTACTTTATTAATAAAATAATAAAGTTAAGTTTTTTAAATAATTAAATTATTAAGCTTATTTTTAATAAATAAATAAATAATAAATTTAATTTAAAATAAATTTAATATTTTAATAAATATATTAAATTAAAGAAAAATATTAATTATTAAATATTAATTATAAATAATTATAAAAGTTATATATTAATTAAGTTTAATTAATATTATAAAAATAATAAAATTATTATTATTAATATATTGCTATATTTATTTTATTTATTTTAATTATTAAATATTATATTATATTTACCTTTAAAATATATATATAATAATAAAATTAATTTCTTTATTTAAGCTTTTATTAATTATATTATTAAATTTAAGTTTTTTTATATTTAAAGCTATTAAATAACCTTTATTATATAGTTATATTTATATATATATATAATATTTATTTAATTAAGTTTTATCTTTATTATTTTATTTAAGTTATAAAATAAGGAAGTAAATAAATATTATATAAGGAAGTATTATATAATACCTTAAAATAGGATTAATTATCCTTATTTATTAATATATCTTTATGTAATTAGCTTTAATATTATTTTAATATTAAGGGTTTTTTATTTTTAAATTATATAATGCCTTAATAATATTAAGTAAGTTATATTACTTATATATTCCCTTTTACTTATTAAGAAAAGTATTTCCCTTATTTTTATAAGTTATATTATTACTTTTTATTTATATAATATAAAT